TAACGGTCGGCGTTTGAACCGCGCGTCGTAGTTCGCGTAGCGTCTCGCGTGCCGCGACTCGATAAACGTCCCCGTGTCGCGGGACGAGGGGGGAACGCACGAAACGTGAAGTACGCGGAAGATACACGACGCGATCGGAGTTCCAGACGGAATAGACTCTTCTGTCGCGATACGAGCTGGCTGGTTTTCTGGCGAACGAGTGCACACAGATAGGTGGAAGAGCGAGAGGTGCCGGCCGCGCGTCGCGAGATTCAACGCGAGATCGTTCCGCCGAATCTCCCCGAGTGACGTCCCCCAGCCAGCCGAGGCGGCGACGTACCGACGATTTGGATCTTGGCGAGCGACGAGGTGAGTTTTATGCTCGTCGTTCGACGCGAGAGAAGCGCCCGATCCGGTGCGTTGAACGGCATCGCGCGCGCGGCATTTATCGCTCGTCCGTTTTTAACCTTCAATTACTCGCGCGGGGACTTGGGGACCACGACTCGCTTCTTCAAAATCTGCACAATTGTGATATATGTATGCGGTGATTACGTTTGAAGGAAGAAAAAGGATCCCCGTGAACTTGATGTCACTTAATTTACGTTAATTTCGCGCGAATACACGTAATAAGGTTCAGCCGTTTCGTTGGGAAACCGAGCGCGGGTAATTAAAGGTTAGCGGGAAGGGCGACGCGACGTGGAGCGGGAGCGGTGCGGCGTGAAGTTGCGCGCGGTTCGCGAGGGCCGCTCGACCGCGAATCCCTGTTTGAAATATTAGAACATAATGACCGGTATTCGTAATCAAATCTTCTAGTCAAGACCACCTTGAAATTTATCTAAAGATGCTGTATGGAACAATTTATTGGCCACGAATTAGGTAAAGATGATCTTAAGGCCGGTATTCATAGACGGATCTTATATTCAAGACCGTCTTGAATTTATCCCTGATAGCACAGAAATATTTTAAAATATTTATAAAGTATTTTAAAAAGATTTTAAAATATATTTAACCTTTTAAAATGTTTCTGTGCTATTAGGGATCTAAGGATGCCGTACGGGACATTTTATTGGCTACGGAGTATCTAAAGATGATCTTGAGACAGTCTTGAATATAAGATCCGGCTATGAATACTGGCCTAAGACAGTCTCGAATATAAGATCTGTGAATACCAGGCACAAAAAAATGAGATTACATTAGACTACATGCAATTTCAATGTAAATTTATAACTCCAGTAGCACGACACATTGGCGCAATATTGGGAAATAATGTAAGTCTAGTATTCCCAATATTGGCCCAATATTGTGAGATGGACGCCTTCTTTTATTTTGCCAATATGTCTACTTAACAATATTGGTTTAATATTGTATCGATGTTAGACCAATATTCTTATTACATTGTTAAATATTGGCCAATGCGCTTCCAATATAAATATTGGTTTAATATTGTCGTCAATTTTAGACCGATATTCTTATTACATTGTTAAATATTGGCCACTGCGCTTCCAATACAAATATTGGTTTAATATTGTCGTCAATATTGGACGTTTGACGTTAATATTGGATTTCCAATATAAATCTAATACCATATAATTAATATCGTGCAATATTTAAATTTATTTCATGGTTAATGGTGGCTTTACGTTGGACAATGTCGGCCAACGCATTAGCCAAATATGTCTATTTAGCAATATTGGTTTAATATTGTCGTCAATATTAGGCCAATATTCGTATTACATTGTTAAATGTTGGCCAATGCGCTTCCAATATAATATTATACAATTATTAACGTGCAGTATTTACATTTATTTCATGGTCAATATTGGCTTTACGTTGGACAATGTCGACCAATGCATTTCTAATATAACCAACATTGGACCAATGTTTAGCCAATGTACTGTAATCAGTTTCAATGTAAATGATTAACAGTCTTATTGCATGTAAGACTCTTTTCTAGTAGCAAAAGAATTAATAAGAATAAAAATTAATAAGTGTCTTATGAATTTACATGGAAATTGCATGTAATCTAATGTAATCTGATTATTTCCATCTAATATTTTAAACAGGGATTCGAACGGCTGCTCGACGGGCGAGTCTCACGTTCCGTTGGACGCCGCGTTTCTTAAAAGGAGATTTTAATAGAGGATAATGATATATATATGTATGTATATACATATAGTTACATTCACATATACAATATTAGGTATATACAGTACAATTTGTTTTCGCTGAGCGATATGCGCATCGCGTCGTTGCGAAAAGACGCGGGACGAAAAAACGCCGTCCCGACGACGCGCTGCGATCACGCTGGAGTCTCGATCGATCCTCCGTCCCTCTCGGCAATCGCGCTTGCGTTCCGACAAAATTCCGACCATCTTCATTCGCACGAAGCACCTAGTGCGGCGTCTACAACGAGATCTTTAAGGCGTAAGATTTAAGAAAGTGGCCTATCACAATCGAACGCGAGGGGAATAATCGACTGGTCATCTTCTTGTGCAAGTCTTACGTCTTGGGCTGCGGTCAAACTGCCGCGATAAACGCTTCGAACTATTATTCTTTTCCTTTCTTTCAATAAAGATAAAAGGAGAGGAGAAACGCTTTGAAGAATTTGTCGCGGCAGCTTGATCGCAGCCCAAGACGTAAGACTTGCACAAGAAGATGACCAGTCGATTATTCCCCTCGCGTTCGATTGTGATAGGCCACTTTCTTAAATCTTACGCCTTAAAGATCTCATTGTAGACGCCGCACAAGAGCCCCGAGTTTTCGCGAAGAACAATTCGCCGAGATCGGCGGAGACAGTCGCGTTATTATTATTTATTTCCTTTGTCTCTTCGCGCGATGTACTTTCGGGCGAATAATTCGGATGATCGGTTTACGCTTTGTCGCGTTTTGTACGTGTAAACATTCGGAGCCCGCGGCTCGCCGAGTTCGATTCACATTGGGGCGGGCCTTCGGGTAGATTACATTGCGGAAGGTTGCGTGCGCACGTTTTCGGAACGCGGTATCCGATAGCTCCGACACTTGTTTGTAATGAAACCGTATCGCGCGCACGCACGTGACGTACACGTGAGGACCCTTCGCGAGCCGTGAAACAATTCCTTGTTGATAAGCATAATCGCCACCGTCTTTATAAAAATTGAACCGTATGAAAAGTGTCAATTAACGCCGGTTGCAGAAAGTTACGCCCAAAATAAATAGGATCTGCGCGTGTGTGTGTAACTTAATTTATATATAAATAATTTGTATATATATTAATAATTTATATGTATATTATGTATATATATTACTCTTTAGAAATAGTATATTGCATGCGTCCTTTGCACTAACGTTTCCGTTCGACGATTGGATAAACTCCCAAACTGAACGTCTAAAGTCGCTAAGAGCTATATCACAATACGCGGCAATAAAAATGAGGGAGCTACGCTTGAATCTCACTCGTCTCGAGTGCCTGGATCCGTTCGATCTATTACTATTTATCACGATCGAGTGTCACTCGGCTGTCCACACGATTCTTCGCTCACGGTAACAATGTTATTCGTACTTGTCGCGCACGCGTAACAGCCGTAAGATGCTCATTCGATAGACACCGTGTCGTGTCGCGTCGCGGCGCAAAAATATTGAAAAATATCCTGCTGAATCTGACTGGGGTGAATACTATATATCGTCTTACTTACTTATCGCGAAGCCTCGCGTATGAAACAGCGTGACTGTCGAAGCCGCGAGAGTTTCGATCTGCGCCCAAAACGTGCTGCCGCCCGATCGAACGCACAGCTGATCTTTATGAAGCAATGAAACTCAAAGCGAGCGCCTTCCGGGGCTACTCGTGACGTTAACAGCACTTCTTGCGCACAGACTTACACACGTTTAGAATTGTATTATTATGCTACGTTCATATGTACATGTTCGTTCCGCGTTTTAGAGATAATCTGACCGTCGCAGTCATAATTGGCATCTTGTGTAACTTTCTATAGATTTTTCTTCATTCGGTTGTACGCTTCGCGAGTAACTTAATGGACCAACCGATTGTATTTTGATAAAAGAGAGAGAGAGAGATAAAGAGATAAAGAAGTGCTTATCGTGATCGGTTATCTCCGAACGTAGTGTGGTGAACCCTGTCTTGTTCACCTAATTCGTCTAGATTGTTTGATATTTCGCTGTATAATATTCTAATATATAATATTTGTTAGACGCTCCGAGAGACTTTAACGTGACAGCGATCGCATGTAGACGCAAGCAAAAAATAGTCGCTGCGACACGGAATAAATTTGTGTACAAGTATCTAGATTGAACTACGCAATGTCCTAGAAAAGTAACTACATATTGCTTCCTCAGCGAATGACGTCCCACAGTTTTACCCAATTCTAAACGTTAGAAAGATTCCCATAGAGTAAATTCGTAAACGTCCTCCCTTGCCAAGCCGAGACGATCGTGTAAGCGTATCCAGAAAAGATGACGTTAGGCTTCGTAGTGCCCGAGGAGTTAAAGTTAACGGAGAGACGCTTTTAACGCAACTTCTAAATTGACTAAGAGCCCCGACCGATTACACTTCTACCAAGCGAATGTTATCTTCCTAACAGATTTACTTGACGATACCGAGTAAAACCTATGAGAAATATCCTCGTCCGAACCTGACGACTGTTAAAAAATACAACCTTTACTTTGTCCTGTATCACATGATGGAGAAAAAAATCTACAAGTCTTACGACACGCAATAGACGGAAACGTAACACGGTAGTGTGCAGTGTCTTAACGGAAAGGAGTTCCTTAATTATGTTACCATTTTATAACGATCTTGAACACTTTCTATTGTTGAATCTTTGCCACTTTGTCGTGCAAATTCCTCCGCGATAAGGCTATTGTTGCTGCAACTGTTGCAACAGCGGGCACACTTCGACCAACGGAGTTCCCAGAATCTCTTGGCATACTTGGTTCATGTCCGGCTCCATCATGAGTGAAGAGATCTGATCTTCCGTAAGCATCTCGACGCTGATCGCGAGAGAGCGAGAGAGAGAAAAATTAGGATATCGTTGACTGACTAGAATATTACAGCTCAGCGGAAACTTACCTGGCTAAACTTTCGCTGTCCGACGTCTCCTCGTCGGCGTTGAGATAACTCATTGTTTTCTCTAACGGACTCGGGACCTTCTTTCCTTTAACTTCCAACTTTTCAGACTTGTCCTTGTCTCTCTCCACTGTCTTTGGTTCACTGGAACGTCGTTCCGTTAAGCTAGATATGTTTAGCATCATCATACCGTGATTGAGTAATTCCTTGACGCGTTCGCCGGTGCCGCCACTCCACAGCATATCGAGAGATTGTCTTCTGCTTGAATTCGCTAAAATAACAATACGCGCTCGATTATAAACGTGCATCTTGAAAAATACATAAAATTGTTCAAAGACACTTTATTCACTTACTGGAACTACCGCCACTGGTCTCGCCACCGGCTGAACTTCTGGTTATCCAATTGGCTAAGCTACTATCGAGCTTGCTTCTGTTCTTCACCGACGGACTTCTCGTAACTTCGGCCTTCTTCTCTTCGCTCAAAGTAACTTCGTTCACTTTCGACATCGTGGGCAAAGATTTCTGCGTCACCAATTTCTTTCGATTGGTTTGCTCCTTCGACGGCTCGGCGATGACGTTAATTGCCTGGGCAAGCTCCGGGCTCAGGTCCATCGGTAGCGGCTTGTACGGGATTTGATCTTCCTCATCGGAATACACGTCATTATTGTAGTAAATTTCGTCCGGCGAATTGTTCAGGCTAATCTCCGTCCATTCCTCGCCATTTTGAGAATTTGCACAATTATTCTTGCGGTCGCTCACGGGTGTCTGAATCTTCACTCTCTTCTCCACCGGAGGTATAACGCTCGACAGATCCGTCAGGCCCGGCGCAGACGAACTGATAGTGTGATTTAGAGATACGATATGTTTCGAGTCGGTCGCGGCGATGCTCCGTGGACGGTCCCGTTTTATGTATTTACGAGGTTCGGTGGATGAGAGGTTGAGATTGTTTAGGCCCAGGTACTCCGACGATGAATCTCTCTCGATCTGAGGGAAAAGCATAGTTTATCGATTAATAAAACTAAATAAGGGGAAAAAAGGTTATTGAAATAACTGCGTTTAGTTGACAGTATTCCTTCCGTTCAAAGTATAGGCATTTATCGAAATGTATACTTTTGTTTAATTGATTAATATTTGCTTGGCAGCCGCATATAGTTGAATCAAGAAATCGACTGACCTCTTTCGCGAGGTCGTATCTCGATTTTACACAATTTCCGGTTTTTCTGTTTACACGCCTATTCGCGTCCTAAATGAGTGTCTAAGCAGAAAAACCGAAAATTGCGTAAAATCGAGATACGACCTTGCGAAAGAGATCGGTCCAAGTATTTCCCGATTCAACACTTGTTTCTCTCAGTGTACGACTTGTCAGGGGTGCACGCTTACTCTTGTAGGCATGGGACATGGCACGTTCGAACTCATCTTGTCGGGAAGGCGTAAATATTCGTCGCTAGTGTAATCCGTGCTGTCCGGAGAGCCAGTCACGCTGGAGTCCGTTGGAGTTGCCGCGTTAACTTGCCCGCCGGGGCGATCGGGCGCGTCTCGTGCGCTCTTGTCATATTCGTCCGTACCGTCGTATCTTCTCGTCTGTTGGCGGAAGCACGAAATGAAAACTTGGTACACGAGTCAAGCCGTCGTTATTCACGCAAGTATATATTTATACCCTGTGAATCTCGTCGCTGATCTTTTCCAGATTGCGTAACGCTTCCGCGTACGAGGCTTTCGCCTCGCCGACTGATCTCTCCAGCGCGCTGACCTTCATCTTCTGCTCCTCCAGCATTTGATTAAAGTGCGCTTTCATCTCATAGTAAGGCCTACGTGATCATGTGACATTTCATTAAATTGGAACTACGTGAAAGTTACACGTTTCTTTAATCAGCCTTCGAATGTATGCAATTACTTAAGCACAACAACTTTATTGCACGGCAATTTGATCGGGAAGAAGCAACTTGAACTCTGTGTGCAGTCTATCTATCGTGAAAAGCTCAATCGAAGAAAAACTAGCACTAGTTGTACGTACATACGAAATTTTCTCAGAGATGTAATCCATGCACAATCAGGGTAATGTGTTAAAATAAATCAACGGAGAGGTAGTTTGAGATGAGCACACATGAAATAAATGTTGCGTATTTGAGGGGGGGAAAAAATAAAAAAAGAATATCTATCCTACTTACAACATGAGCAAGTTGTGCCTGTAGGCGATACTGTTTATCAGAAGCAAGCTGCGGCGTGCACCCATACTGCCAACATGAACATATAACCAAAACACATAAATACCATAAGAGGTCTATCGAAAACAACATAAACAGTCATAATCAGTCGAAGGTAATTCGATGATTATTTGAATAGAGATAAAAGTATGTTAATGGCAATGGGAAGAAACAACAAGAGGTTTCTTATATGTAAACAGTAATCGTGTTCCGACACATTAACTTGGTTGTATACAAGGTTTTAGCTCTTCAAAGTGATTTATATATGGATGAGAAAAAATAACTGTATGCAATAACTTCATGCATTATAACAAAACCATCAGGAAAATAGATATACTCGAGCTCCATTGACGGGAGGGCGGCGAGTCCCTCACGTACCTAGATTTGGCAATGGCACGCTTCAATTCACGCTGCAACCTCTGAACCTCGTGTTCCGCCTTGTGATACAACGCAGTCGTGTGCCTGTGCTCCGCCTCGGAGAGAGCTCTCTCGTGCTCCGACTCATTAACTCGCGACGTGGCATGATTCAACATTTCCTACAATAATTTCACAATACCTCGCGTGTAATCTTTTTTAGGACCTGGTATTAATGAGTATTCACCTGCCAGGCGTGATCAAAGCATCTCCCTTCGGTCCGTAGTCCCTCCTCGGCTAAGTAAACCATTTCTTTAGCTGCCGCATGCTGGCTGTTGGCTCTCTCAAATCTGATCGCAGCCTTCTGCGTCTCTTGTAACGCCTAGAGACAAAACATTTGTAAAGCTTTCGTAAACGTAATCACAGACACCTGGTTATACACTCACCTCCTTCGCTTTAAATCTAGAGTCATAATAGGGTCTGGATTTCTCGATGCAAGATCCAAGTTTCTTAGCCAAAGTGTCGATCTTGATTGTTGATTCGCACAATAATTCTCTAAAGGTTGCTCTTGCTTCCTAAAAAGAAAAAAAAAAGATAAAACACATCTTTCTGTGCGACAGAAATGTAAGATGCTGCAATTCCTTATCAACCACGGTCTTAAATTAAAAATGACTTCTTTAGTTGAAGCCATCAGCGACTGCTGTTAAGACCATCGTCCAAGTCATTATCCATTTACATGTATCTTACACAGCAATCGTCTCAATAAAATCTAATCGCAACCAGTTTCAAAACTTGCCGGCAATTTTGTACCTCCGAGCCATCATTTATATATCGCAATGTGATATCTAGAGAGACTACGGATTGCGCGTAACACAAGGTCACACTTTGAAAAGCAGTACTCACGTCTAAGTCAACTTCTAGTTTATTGATATCGTCCGTAGCCGTGTTCAATCTTTCGAGTTCAATCTGAAACACAACGAGCGTATTTCGCATGAAAGAGACATATAAATTACGTGTCGTTCTATCAACAACACCCATTATTTTATACGCTAGAGACCTTATAATCGAACAAATAATTGACACGCTCGTTTCCACCCACTGCCAATATTTGCATATAAATCAAAGAAGCCCCGTGCATCGTGCTCCAATTTCTCGAGACGGAGTTACCGGGCAACGAGGGTAATTTAGCCAGCGCTATCGTGGTAATAGGCCGCCCCGGCCGGGCGGGCGGGCGGGGGGGAGGGGGGATTAAGAATCGGGGCCGCTTCACGACTCGTGCGTGCGTGTGCGTGCGTGCGTGCGTGCGTGCGTGGGCGAGAGCGGGCGAGGAGGGAAGGGAGGAATTGGCAGGCGGCCTCCGAGGAAAACGTGGGACCGGAGCGTCGCGCGCCGGGGAACTCGCGGTGAAAAAAATCGTCGCACGAGCGCGATTCTTCCCCGCTCGTCGACGACGAGGCTGTCAATACCGGGACTCCCCCGCGCGCGCGGCACCGTCCGGGCGGCGCACACGCGGGCGTAGACGGCACTCACCTGCACCCGCGGGTCCACCGCGTCGTCCACGCGGTCGGAGTCGTCGGCGCTCTCCTTCTGCACACGTCCGCTCATAATTAAATCTAGAGGGTGGATTTTATTTACAGCTCTCCCATGCCACCTGTGTGTATCGTCTGCTAGACATCAGGTGGCCATGTTGGACGTCAAAGCGTATCTCTCGCCGCGGTGTGCCAGGGCCGTCGCCACGCTGTGCGCGCTCTCGGCGGCGGGGCATGCGCCTCCCTGCGCGGCGGAGCGCGCGCCCCGCGGAGCTCCGGGAAATGTCATCCGAGGTCGCGCGATAACGGAACCGCAGCGCGAAATCCGCCGCACGCGAATCGAAGATCGTAATCGTCGTGTCTGCATGTAATTGCGGCGTGAGAATTTCCGACAACTTTTAATAGGGCCCCGACGCAATATGTATTTTCTATTGACGTGAAATACTTCGATGTACAGGGTGTTCCAGGAGGAAGGGTCAATATTGTGGGAGATGATGGTATCGGTCGTTTTAAGCAAAAGTGTTCACGTGAACATACGTCCCATTCCCCACTGTTCCCGAGATAGGGCACATTTTGTTGACGTCCTCGTTCATAAAACATGAACACTGCCCATACAGCACAGATTGTTGCAGTTACATTGCAGAAACGTTACAATCTTGCAAATTGCAGTGCAATCTTGCAAAGACATTGCAGAGATATAAAATTGCAAATTTTCGATAGCAATATTGCAGCAATGTTTCAAAAATAATGAAAATACTATATTTTCTATTAAAAATTTTTTTCTAATTACGAGAATTTTATAATGTTATTTTCGTTGATACCAATAATTTTACTTGATCAGTGCGGTGTTGCTCGCAATCTCCATCTATTGCGAAGCGACATAATCTCCTTAGGTTGCTTCGCAATAGCTTGCTGTGTATTGAAAAAGGCCCGGATGCATATGTAATTAGTAAATTCTCCGCTTATGTACAACAACAAATTTTTCCAAAAATATTGCAGTGCAGCATTGCTATAATGTTACACTGCAATCTCTCCGAGGGCGGACATTTCAACGTTGCTGCAATCCTCCAGAAACGTTGCAGCAATGTTGCGCAACGTTGCTGCAATATTGCAACCTTGCAATGTAACATTTCTGCAATCTTCCTGCAATCTTTCTGTGCTGTGTGGGTGGGAAGCGTTTCACTTTCACGCGATGTATTGGAAACCTCGGAAAACACTTTGCGATTCGGAATTCTGCGTGTAGGAAAGCGACGGTATTCTTCAACAGCAGCAGCAGCACTACCGTCACAGAAACCGTAAACATACAGCATTATATCTGCATATTCGGCATTTGTGAATGCGCGAGGCATTTTGTACATTTCTACGATGTTAGCGCAACAGTCAACAGACGTGTAAGAGCAAATTCCCGCGGACGTTTATGAGGTTGGATGAAGGGTGAAGTGTACAGAAAAAAAAGTTAATAAACGAGACATTCAAGTAGCTCTATCTCGGAAACAGTGGGGAATGGGACGTATATTCATATGAACATTTTTGCTTGAAACGACCGATTCTGTCACCTCCCAGAATATTGACCTTTCCTTCTGGGACACCTTGTATATTCAAGACTAGTGATATTCTTTGGTTGAGTACCCACACAGCACGGGGAACTCCCAGAGAGCTCCTGGGGAGCTCTTAAAATTTTTCATAAGCTTAACTTGAACTTCAAACGAACTCGCACAGAGCTCCTTGGGAGCTCCTATGTCCGCTTTTGAGAGCTCCTTAGGAGTTTTATTTAAGCTCCCTGCGAGCTTAAATAAAGCTCACAGGGAGTTCTCAAAAGCGGACATAGGAGCTTCCGGGGAGCTTCATTTAAGCTCGCAGGGAATTGAGAAGTCATGTTTTAAAATGTACGACATACGACAGGTAAGTACGACATGCCACCTTGGACACTTGGGGAAGATTGTAGCAAAATGCTGAAAAAAGGTACACCTAATATGACATATAGTACAGAATGCTACCCCGATGAAAGGATACCATATATCTGGATAATCAATCACATTTTATGTAATATTAATGTTTTTCTCATTCGTATATTACATAATTCGATATGTAAAAAATACTGAATAATGTTACTAAATTTCAACGTAATTTTTATTCTATAAAAATCTTACAGGTACTTTAGCTCAGCGAAATAAACTCCCTGGAAGCTTATTTTATCGAATTTTTGTAAGCTTCCCAGGAGCTCAGTGAAATGAACTTCCTGGAAGCTTGTTTTGTCGAATTTTGTAAGCTTCCCGGGAGCTCAGCGAAATGAACTCCCTGGGAGCTTAATCGGAGCTTTGTGCTGTGTGGGTATTTTAAGTAAATTTTGTAACAAGAATTTTATTTAAAGAGATACACCATAGCGAGGTCCAAACTCCGGCGGGAAAGCTCCCTCATTTAATGGTATCGACATTTTTAATTTCGTTCTTTACGTTATTATTTAACTCGGGACCGAAACATGCAATACGTGCAGAGATATTGTGCACGCGATGTTTAATTTTAATCGTGTATTTTTATTAATCAGCCGCGTGTCGTTCGCGTGTCGGAAGCACGGAAATTATCTCATTGTTTCACCAACGTTGTTTAAGGGGATGCTGGAGTGATTCTGCACTTTCGGCACCTTTTGCTCCTAGAACTGTCAACTCGTGAAAACATTTGTGTAATATACAAATTATGTGGCATTTGTACGAACCGACAGTGTTCCATTATTCGGACTAAAGCAGAGAACAGCGTGGTATCATTGAAATTAAGTTTAGAAGCCTAAGAAAAAATCTATTCACTCGAATAAGTTATAGATTACTTTAACCTAGGTTAGGTATATCACACATTTTTTTTTGTAATATTACACAAATGTTTTCACGAGTTGACAGTTCTAGGAGCAAAAGTGTAGAATCACTCCAGCATCCCCGTAACTTTGTCTCTTTCCAACTATCACTTTAGAAAGAGACAAACAAGAATTAAACTAAGATTAAAGTTTGATGAAGCCGGACCTAAGTCACCAATCGATCGAAATGCTCTGTCCAGATTTCTCGGCGCGCAATTCGACTTTTCCCGCCGACCGACATGGCGCCGCTTCAAGATGGAAGGGCGATTCAAGATGGCGGGCGCGAGAAGCGCGCCGTCAGGCGGCGTCGCGCGCGCCGGTCCCGCCTGGCTCTCAAACGTGACTTTTCCCCGCTCGCACTGGTGAGTCGCGTGTCCGCCCGAGCAGGTGAAGTACGGTTCTTCGTGGAAAGCGGCGGCCCGCTCCAAGGAACGTGTCGGTCACACCGGGCAGCGCAACGATCCATCGCCGCCGGTAAGTGAAAACTACGCGACACGCCGCTTCTTTTTCCGCGGGCGCGAGCGCGCGCCTTCTCGGCTCGTCTTCCCGAAGAAGGTAGAGAATCGCCGCTCTCGAATTTCCCTCCCGAAGCACGCTGGAAAATGTCTCTCGGGGAGCAGTGCCGGCGTTGGACCGCGCGCGGCTCGGACTTTCTATTTCGGCATTTTTACGAGGCAGGACGAGGCGCGCGGCGGTTAACTTAACGGTGGAGAGAGAAAGAGAGAGAAAGAGAGCGCGCGCGCTAAGGTCGAGCCGTCCTCCCCCCGTGAAAGAAGGGTAACGTATCCGGCGCGAGGTGCGTGTCCTCGCGATCCACGATCGTCTTCCCCGCCCGGTCTCCGTTCGTTCACCGCGGGCTCGCGTTTCGTCGAGGACCAGCGCGCGATCTCGCCGAAACGAAGTTGCCTTCTCGCGCACTTATTCCGGCTGTACCGAGGATGACGCGCGGACGCGGAAATGCCTCTCGCGTTCGTCGATCCTCCCCCGTGACTCGCGCGGCTAATTCGGGCGGGAAACAGCCAGCAGCGGGCCGTCCTCGCATGCCGCAATCCGGAGTCCCTGGAATCGTGGCCGGCTCCGACGGTCTGTTTACCCGCGCCGCGTGTTTACCTCGGAGCCGTGTTTTTGCTCGCGCGCATGAGAGCCCAGTAAGAAATGACTCGTGAATCGATGTCGAGCTAACATTGAATCGACGTCAACACCAAGTGAAACCGATGTCGAATCGAATCTGACAGTGCCGACATTTCCACGAATCATTTCTCACCGGGAGGAGACGCTGTCGAGAGGATGGGATCGAAAACATAAAGCCGGGTATAGACTTGAACGCGAATGAGGCAAACTGAGACCGCACCGAATGCCTCGGATCGCAAAAATACAGGGCGTTTTCCAGCAAGGACACAGTGTAACAGTGAATCGTTTCATCCTTGTTTAACATTGGCAAACAACAAGGATGTAATGATTCACAGTGTTACACTGTGTCACATTGTGTGCTGGAAAACGCCCATAGACTCTGCACGAGGACGTAATGAAGCAAGTCGAGGTACCTGTTCGGTGGTGCTGAGTTTTCTTTGATCGACCGACTAGACAGCGTTCGGCTCGGACTGAGGCGAACAATCCGAGGCAATTTGCCGCGCCTCGGACCAACGTACACATTAGAACTGGTTATTTCCTTCGAAGGCTTCGACATTCGAACTTTCGAAGCTTCGAAGCTCTGAAGTCCGAAGTTAACTTCGAAATCTTCGAAGCTTTGAAGTTCGAATCTAACCTCGGAATCTTCGAAGCTCTGAAGTTCGAAGTTAACCTCGAAATCTTCGAAGTTAACTTCGAAGCTTCGAAAAATTTATTCGTGCGAGTGGCGAATTTATTCAAAGAACATAAAAAATACTTAATTGATTTACTTGACTATTTTTGAAGATTTAATTACGCGATCTTAAACAAATATGTATAATAATATACATGTTATAGTACTTCAAAATTATAATTTTGAAGCAATTACCTATTTTTCAACATATATGAATAAGTACTTTTTATTTACAGTATTTTTAGTGTTCTTCAAACAAATTCGCCACTCGCACGAGTAAATCTTTCCAAGTTTCGCAACTTCAAAGTTAAATTCGAACTTCGAAGATTCGAAAGTTCGAAGTCAACTTCGAAGCCTCGAATTCTTTCGGAGCTCCGAATCTTCCAAGTTATCAAAAGTAACAGCCCTAGTACACACGTGTATGCTCATGCGGCCTCGGTTTGCCTCATTCGCGTTCGTGCTCAAGTCTGTACGCGTTACACCCTTAGGTCCAGTTTCACAAACGTCGGTTAACTGTTAACCAGAGTTCAGTCGACTTCCTATCTTTCTCTATCTTGTTATCCAAGAAGAGACAGAGGATCAATTAACCATGGGTTAGCGGTTAAACGACGTTTGTGAAACTGGCTTATAGACTTATGTACTAGACTGCACCATCCCTATGGACGCGCTGTCCTAAACATTAGAGTGCAGACATATCAAAAGACTCATGATCTCTCTCTCGCTCAGCGTCAAGAGTGGGGAGAAAACGAACAAGTTAGACAGAGACACATTGACTCAGTTCTTCCTCTCTTTCTGTATCTTACGACCGACGCCTCCTGCGGATGGCGCAGTCTAGTATACAAGTCTACGGTTGCACCGCGATCCCTTTGAGGGACCGGACCGGGCGCACAGGTGCTCCCGGTCCGTAACCGTGAGCGACAACGTGTGCGCGGCCTCGCGCGACCAGGTTGAATTTCTGACGTCGCGCACGGCGAACTGACCCAAGGACGCCGCG